CTAGCCATAAAATCGACAATAGTGCTCGATATGCTTCCAATTCAGCCTTATCCCCAATTCAATGAGAATAAATCGTTCTTCTTCTTCATGTTTGGAACTGTAACGCGATAGCAATTTCGCAAGATATAAACAAAGCACGCCAGCCATTTCTCTTCTGTGCCATCTGACACCAATTGGAAATTCCAAGAGCAATTCCATCGCAGAAGAGACTTCCCTTTTCCGCTGCTAGCATAAGCGGGTTCCGAGGTGAATACTTTCAGGGCTTGAATCATTTCCGAAAAGCTATTGAAGCCGATGCTGATATTCATTGTTGTTAATGTATAGCAGCATACAATAGCTGATATGATAGCCCCGCTCCTTCTCACCCTACCGAAAGTTATTCCACATCAAAACTTTTAAACATTCATTGGAACAACAATACCGGACTGCTATCATAGTTTAACTTTATGGAATATGCAGGCGCTATTAATTTATACAAAAATATCTGCACTTACCGATCAGATCTTTCGCGCTCCATTTCAGCCCATTCTGTATCACTCAATGTTGGCTGCATGAATTTTGTTAGCAAAAACTGCGATTGACCATCGGTTCCGGTTCCCGAGCCATTAACAGCCGTACCTACTGTTCCACCAGCAACCGACATGCCAAGTACATTGCTGGCAGTACTGCCACTTCCCCCATTCACACTGCCGCTGCCACCGCCGCTCTGTTATTAAAAATAATTTTATTGCAAAAACAAACAGTATTAGTATACTTTTCAAGTCGTAAAATTACAGCATAAATACTACTTCTCTGCTGTTGAGTGCATTGTTGCCTGTCAGGCCTGATTGGGATTGTTGTTGGGCGGCTAACGACGGATTCACACTCCATTCGTTGGTGCGACAAGAGCTGGCACCACCACCATTAACACTACCAGAACCGCTTGCACCGCTGCCACCGCTACCACCAGATCCACTGCCACTCAATATTGGGCCGCTACTTATCACCTCCGGCATGGTTGCATTCGAATTCGATGAAGAGACCATTGGATGAGCCCGACGGGGCAAACGTTCCAACTGTTGGCGTGTTGCCTAAAAAGAATGTACACAAAGAGTAAGCATTATGAAAACATACATAAGATCAGTGGGCATTGTGGATTGAATGCAAACATGACCACAAATGCAAAATCAAACACGAAACATAGCAACAATAATTAAAAATAAAAACAATTAAAACCAATAACGTCATTATTTTTTGTGTTACGCCGCTGTGTTGCTTGCCAAAGATTTTACAACTGCGCAATTTTCCACTTGCAAAATTAACAAAAATGTGCATATACATATATATCGTCGTTTAAAGTACAAAACCGCGTATCAACAAAATGCAAAAACGCGTATCAACATAATGCAAAACCGCNTTGTATAAATTATTTTCTAGAGTGTAAAAACACTCATATTTCAAAATGGTACTCTTTTTTATAAAGCAATCTCATACCTGGCCAGTATGTTTCAGAACGAATGGATAAGGATTGAGCCAAGAGCTTGTGTGAATAAATCCAATTTTTGGCAGCTAATACCAGTTACGTGGTTTTGCAGAATGACGATACGCGGTTTGTACTTTAAACGACGATGTTTGTGTATATTTGTATATATACACACGTGAGTAAATTTGCAAAAAAATTGGTACATACATATATAATCATGCCTTTTACGGTATCCGAAGGATGAAGTTAGTGAGAAGGAGTAGATTCATGAAAATGGGATACCTCGGAAACAAACCTATTCCGGTCCGACAGATACAATTCGCACGAATCTAATACTTCGCACTCACTTATTCCGCCAGTGCGAATATGATAGGATCCATGTGGATGACATCCGTGGGATTCCGTAATAGCCATGAATAAATTTTTATTTTACATACCGTCACTTGTTGGCGTTCCAATTGTATTTGCATCTGCAATTGTTGCAATTGGGACGTCTGCGGTCCGCCTCGTCTCACACCCGATAACTGTGAGAGTAGTTCGGCAATCGGGTCAACCGATTCCCTTCCGGATGGTGATAGGGCAGACAAGCCACTTGATGAACTAAAGTGCATATTGGAACGACGAGCGCGAGGACCGCCAAGCGTACGTCCTGGAATACGACGTACACCGCCTCCATGTCGGATAGCAGATGGTTCG